AACTGAACCGTCCACAGTAATCGTAACTCATAACCTCAAACCCAAAAACACAACACTCAGTCCCATCTCCATCTCTCACTCTCTACGGCGAAATCCGTCTCCATCTCCGAAGATTTCCGTCCCCATCGCCGGCGAAATCCCTCACAACCATTCACAGTCAAAAATCCCTCACAATCATTCAGAAATGGAAAATCAACCTCCGAGGGTTAGTTTTTTTATTTTTATTTTGAAATTTTTGCATTATTTTAGGTTTTTCATATTGAGATTGATGATAAGTTTACTGGTAATTTCAATAATAGATTAACCATTTCACTTAGATTTCTTATTAAATTCATTCGATTGCTGCCAATACTGCTAAACTGTTTAGCCTGTGAAGTTAGTATTTGTCTTTGCTTTGTCTTTTGGTTGAAGTAATGCAGAAGAAGAATAGTTTCGAGAATGAAAATCGCAACGCGGAAATAACTATCGCAACGCGAAATAAAAAACGCAACGCGAAACAAAAATCGCATTGCGATTTTTATTTCGCGTTGCGATTTTCATTTCGCGTTGCGATTCTCTCGTTGCGATAGTCATTTCCGCGTTGCGATTTTCATTTCAACCAAAAGACAAAAACAGTGTTGCAAATTTTAGTTTCAAGAATAAACTACTATTTATGTTTATTGTTTTGTTTTTGGTATATCTTGACAGTGTAATTTTTGGTATATCTAACTTGGTATGTTTATTGTTTTTTTGTAGAATTTTTTTCGGCTTCATTGACATTAAGGAATAAAGTTAGCCTAGCCACTACAATTGCTTCGAAGCTTTCACCTGCACAAAGAAAATTGTTTGAAGAAACCTGCTTCGGGCCATGGCTGATAGTACAACATCCGGGTAGAGATGCTAGTTTGACCCATTTGTGGCTTCAGACTATGACTAGCGATCTACCCGACAGTATACAACGTGGTGAGGAAGAGATATGGTTTCATTTTCCACCGGCGTATACTTGTTTTGGGCGGAAGGAGTTCTGCTTAATCACTGGTCTACAATTCGGACACGATGATGTAGGCCGGTACACTCGTCATATCACCCGCCCATCATGGTTATCCAGGGTTTTTCCTGATGAGTCAATAGAGAAGCCGAACTTACACGTCGACGATATGAAGAAATTGTTTAATAAGAAAGATGGTTTTACTCGGATGAATGACGTCGATGTTGTCCGAGTATGCCTTCTACTACTTTTGTATGCCGGCTTTTTAGGCAGAGAGGCCAGACAACCTATTCCTCAGGAGCTAATATTATTGGTAGAGGACCTAAATGCATGGAATCTATTTCCGTGGGGTTCGTATATATGGAAAGCTACCTGGACTAAGTTGTCGTCTGCCTTTGATGACCGCAAAAGTTTGCGGGGCGATGGGTCGAAATACACTTTATCAGACTTTGTTTGGGCCTTTAAGGTAAGAATTTATTTATGAGTTAACTAATTTACATAAAATGTCACTCCCTATTTATATATTCTCTAGGGTTTTGTTCAATATTTTTTTATTACTTTGGGCTGCCGCTCACTCACCAGGTATCTCCCTTTCTCAACAATTTCTTTTTCCTTTTTTTTTCAACTTTTGTTCTTCATATCTCCTTTCATTTTCTCCTTTCATTTCTTTTGTTATTCATTCTCTCCATCTTTTTAGGCCATACATTTTATTTTCTTGGTTTTCTATATTCCTTTTTAATTTTCATACATTTTTTATTTCTTAGTACTTATTTTTTAGCTTTAATCTCACTTTCAACAAGATTTTGATCGAAATCATCAATGAAAAGGTTTGTTTTCATAGGGATTTTTTTTTATTTTATATTGGAATATATTTTTCTTTTAGTTAATTTTTTCTGTTCTTTTTTCTTCTCTTAGTTTTTTGCAGTTTTAAAAGAATATATTCATATGATTGTTTTTTGGGGTGATCAGTAATGGATGAGGTGGGGCAATGGGTACTGATGATAGTTTCAAGGTTGGCCACTGTGTGTGTTGTCAGGATAAGATGATACCAGCATGCTCAAGTGACTGAGTTTCATGTCATCATTGACCTTAGTTTTGGTAGCTATGGTTTCAAAACTCTAGCTGTCATTTGTAAAAAAAAAAAACTATGATTGTATTGTAATTTTTAGAAAAAAATGGGCTGATATTATAATTTGTAAAATGTTTGGTTTGTTATCATAATTTGGAAAAGTTTGATCTTTATTATAATTTATAAAAAGTTTGGGTTGCTGTTTAATTTGTAAAAAGTTTGGGTTTTTATTGTAATTTGTAAAAAAAGTTTGGCTTTATTATAATTTTTTAAAAAAGTTTGGTATTATTGTAATTTATTGAAAGTTTGAGCATTTATTATGATTTATAAAAAGTTTGGGTTATTAATATAATTTATGAAAACTTTAGGTTTTATTGTAATTTATAAAAAGTTGGGTTTTATTGCAATTTTTATAAAGTTTGTTACTATTGCCATTTATGCTACTATTAAGTGATGATATATTATGCCATTAATATTGTGACGATATCTCATTTGTCACTTATATAACAAAAATATTATATTATTGGTGATGAAACGAATGATAAATGATAGAATTTTATTTGATTTGATGACATAATTAATTGTACTAAATACAAATTATAATATGACATTTTATATTATTGTCACCTTATTCCTAATAATATGTGACAAAAAAAATGTATCGTCACATTAAACATTTAATAACACATCTAACATAATGTTCAACGTGAAATCAAATTTTTTATTATAAAATATAATAAGTAACATAAATGCAAGTTTTAATGATAATATTTTAACAAATAATTTTTTTTTGTTGTAGTGTGAAACTGGAATGTAGGTAGAAACTGAGGAAGATTCTGGCATACGTCAACAGATATTAGGTTTTTTCCCTTGATCAAAGTAATTGAAGGTTTGGTCTGTCACAATTATAATTACATGTTTGGACTTGTAGTTGGGAGTTCCCTCAGATAGCTTGCTTCTCTCCCTTTCTCCCTTCCACCACATGCAGTAAGCTTAGAATCTAAGCTGTATTTCTGCAAAAATGGATCAAACATCAAACCAAGTCGATCAACACTTACTTTCTATGCTAAAATCCCTCCAAAAAAGCTTCAAAATATCTGCAGAAAAAATCCATTTTTCAACACATGAACCCCAATCCACCACCATTGATCCTTTCTTAGACCTTGAAAAGAATGCGAACCTCGTTTTTAATAACGACTCGAATTTCTTCAAGCTCTCTCAGCTGCTTTGCAACCTCAAAAGCCTGCTTGAAAGCTCCAAGAATTTCAGGGCTATAGGCTACTCTGCATCCTCAGACGCCAAATCATCAAATACAAGATTTACCAAGTCGCTAGTGTAATAGAGGCTGATATTCAAGCCTATTTTGATTGTGAAAGCGTTCAAAATCTTGTGGGAACACTTGAAGGTTCAGCTGACTAGGATGAGAAAGTGAAGGTTTTGGTTGAGTTTGAGAAACGTCTATCACGAGGTTTTGATATTCATTTTCAAGATTTAATTTTGAAAGCCAAATTATTCTCGATTCTCGAACATTTACTTTGCGACTCTTCATGCTCGATTAGGGTTCGAGATCAGGTAGCACTAGTGATAGCTTCATTGGTTAGATTTAACAAAGATGTTGTTGTGGGATTGGTGCTAATGGGTCCAACTGTTGGAGCTTTAATATCAATGTCATCTTGTTGTTCGATTCGAGTTCTGTCTTTGCTGATCAAGTTTATTAGAATCCCTTTGGTTGATGAACTAGAAGCACACAAACAAATCCCAAGAATTATAAGCCTTTTAAGCTCAGAAAATGTGGCGATTCGAGCTGAAGCCATGGATTGCATACTCGGGATCGCGTATTATTGTAGAAGAGAAGCCATTGAAGCAATGTTTGAAGCAGGGTTGGTGGAGAAGCTGGTGAAGTTGCAGGGATTAGAAAAGTAATCCAATGTGGATGAAAATGGGACAAGTAATGAAGAATGCTCAAAATCAGACCAAGAAATGGAAAGCAACGAAGAGGATTATGTGAGGAATTGTCCTTTTGAAGGTTGTGTTGCAAGATATGCAATGCAACTAGAATCAGGAGAACTGCTAAGTAAAAAGGAGAAAAGAGAATTTAAGTTGGAGATTTTGAGGAGAGTTAGAGAAGCCTCTGTTTCTGAGGCAGATAGAGCTTCCATTGTTGCAGAGGTACTATGGGGTTCCTCCCCTTGAAATTAGAATTGAGGCTTAGTTGGAGTTCCTGCTTTAGAAATCTGTAATTCTTAGTTGTAATGAAGAGTTTAGGATATAATGAAACATTGGCAAATAATTTTTGGCCAGGAAAGTCGAGAAAAATGTTTTACAAACATGAATTCCTCATGAAAATGTCGTTCAGCTTTGCCGAGACTCAAGGAACTTCAATTTTTTTGTTATTTTGAAAAGGGTCTTTCTAGAGTAATTTAGACCATTGTTCTTTGGGTTTCACTTCGATTTCCTTAAGTTGTCACCATCTTATATTGATTCTTTTGTTGAAAACCAGTGGTGTCCAAATTATATGGAGCGTTAAAGGTTCAGCCCAACATGACTGATTTTCGCCGAGCAACACCAGTTAATTTGCCTTTAACAGATTGAAGTAGCAGCTAAAAGGGGTTATGATAACTTTGGATGCATAATCAGCTTTACTAACAAGACAATAATAATAATAATAAGACTACAGGGAGCGGGAGCGGGAGCAGGAGCAGCCAACAGAAGGAAAAATATCAGTAGGGATTTCCTCCTTGAATGAATTTAGTTAGTCAAAGATGAAGCAGAGTTTTCTTCCTTTTATCCCTCCACCCCATTTTTCCTGAAAAACGTTAGATATTCATTAGAAATTACTAAGCCTCTGGTTGGAATCTTGATATTAACAACTATGACCCGGAGCATGTTTGGAAGCAACAAGATAGGAGTGTCATTTTAAGTTGCCGACACATAAATGTAAAACTGAATGAACTAGAGCTAAGTCATACAAAAGATCAAGGAGAAAAGAATGAAGCATAGATTATATAATGATACTCTAACTGTATATTAGGAAATATGAAACAAGTGTGATTTCCAGAACTGTCACAATGTTATCTACTCTAATTTAGACAGACACCATTAGTCTGTAACTCGAATCGACCCATTCTAACTTCCCAGTACACCATACCCCTAGCCTCAGCAAGTCGATAAATAACAAGGACAAGAGATTCAAGCTCATTTTCGCCTTTTAGCTGGTGGCTGGAGCTCTTCCTCCTCTTCGACATCATTGTTATTATTGTCGTCCTTCTCCTTCTCATCGACATCCTCTTCTCCACTGTCACCTTCCCCGTTGGCCTCAGGTTCATCTTTGGGATCTCCTTCATCTTCACCAGAAGCATCCTCCTCCTACTCCATCTTGATCATCTACTGCTGCTTCCTCATTATCATCATCACCATCCTCAGTATCACTGGCATCCTTGTTATCAGGACTAGGTTTTCTCACAGCAAGAAGCTGAGCCAGTGGAAACCTGCAAAAGAAAATTGGCTAATTTTCCCACCCCACAGAACAAGTCAGGAAAGATGAAAAAGAATGCAACTAACCCAGCATATGCTTCAGGCTCTTTCAAGCGGATATCAATTCCATTAGGCAGAGTTCACATCTGGAAAAAAACACCAAAACAGATGCTGAGAAGGAAAACAGATTCCTTTCAGGTGCAGTTTGTGAGCAATATGTGAAAAGCAAGCAGATCATCACACCAAATGACACAACTTCAAGACAGGAAAAATGAAATTACCCCCATTGTCATATGAATCACAAATAATATATGATTGGACGAAATGACAAACAATCAAACATTCTTGCACCAAAACACAAAAAAAGAGACAATCAACAGAATGAAATTGTTCTTAAAGCTTAAAATGTAGCGGTTTACTCTTGATGTCATTAACATTCCATATTAAATGAACCCATGCTTCCAAAAACACATTGCATCTTCCACTCTCTTTTCCTCTATAAACATCCTAACTAAATTCTTCCTTAACCTATACTTCTAGACAACCTATTAGGCACAGTAACAAAATCCCTAGTCTCTAAAAGACCACAACCAAAACGACACTGAATCTGAAAATTGCAATCTTCTAATTTGAAGAACAATGAAATCAAATTATCATAGAGAATTTGTCATTTTCAAATAAATTCAAGGAAAATAAATCCTTATAAAGAACAAAAGCAACCACCACTCAAAACTGTTAACCCATAAATTTAAATTGCAACTTCACAAGCTAAGGTAAAATAAATAGCAAAAGTAAAAGAAAATTATACCCTCGTGAGCAACCAAGCGAAGGACTTTGTAACAATAATGGCAGAGTCGACAACCATAGCTTGTTGTGTAAAGCCTAATAACACATCGTTTCGGGTCAGACATTCTATTTGCCCGACTTTTGACATACCTTGGACTAAGATTACAAGTAAAGGAACCCAATTGAAGAGAGAATGTATGGGGTTTATGTTAGGGGTTAGGGGAATGATTAGCATCCACAAGCACATGATTCAAGAAAGAGTGATTGATGGATCAAAAAAAAAAAAGAGTTCTTGATGTCAGAGTTAAAGAGACTGTCGGTCGTGGAGTTGAGCAGAACAAGCTAAAATCAGATTTTGATCATAAAACGAGCATTATCGCCGTTAACTTAGCTGAAATGATATGCCTTTGACCATAATATTTTGAGCATTTGTTGCATTTCCTAAATATTCCTTCTGTCGGTTAGTTTAAGGCCCATAAGATTCAGCTAGGCCTAAATTTAACCCAGCAGATGGGCTTCATTGGAAGAATTGTGCATAAAATAATTTCTTCCCTTTATAGTATTTTATATATATTTCTTAGGAATATATACACAAAAACTATAGATACATGAATATCTGTTATATAGATATATAATTGATAAATAAATTATAAATATGTAATTTTGTAATATTAATTGAAAAATCATTAGTGAAAGAAAAAAAATGCAGTAGATGTTTTCATCATCTATATAAACGTGGAAGTTAAAATATTTCAGAGACTGGTGAAATGAAACACTAACTAAATGAAAATACCAGTTTAGAAGGAGAAATCAAGTTTCATTTAGGAAAAATATAAAAGTCTAGCTGTCTACCAGGTTTTACATTTATTTTTCTCGCTAATACAGGAACAGAAGAGAAGCTGATTCTACAAGCTTACTTCAGCATCCTGTCTACCAGGTTTTACATTAAGAAAGAACTATATGACCTAATTATACATTCAAGAGTTAGATAGAGCAAAGCAGATATATCAGCACTGAGGTTGGGGTTTGGGTTGATCCGAGACTGCAGATTGCGGAGCAATGGTACTTGCAGATCCATTCTCAATGCGTTGCAGTTGGGACACAACATCCCATTTGCCCTCGGATTCAATTGGTTCAAACACATAAACGCTGCCATCGGTTTGGCCTATGGCAAACTGGTTGGGTTCTTGGGGATGGGCAGCAACTGCAAGTGGATGAACAGTTGAGCTGCCATAGAGGGACAAAACATGCGTTAAATAGCAAATAACCATCCATTTATCATCAAAAGGAAAAATAATGGAAGCAATATTGTTATAGATGAAGATATTACCTGACATCGGATGCCATATAAGCAGTGGGATTTATCTGGCGCTGTAATTGAAGGTTTGAGGCACCGAATATGCGCACCGTTCCATCCATGAAACTGGTGTACACCAACTGGCTATCACATGAAAATATTCCATGGGTGATTGGTGCATAAGATTCTCCTATGGCCAACTGAAACGACAAATGACATTCCAATTTTAAAACTTTCAATCAAATAGATACTCCGATTTCATCTCTTTTACCTTTTCTTGCTAACAAAAGACTCCATTTGCATATATACCTGCTTTATACTCTCCAGTTTCCTCACATCATATATGGCGAGTTGAGTTGAGTTTACAGCCAGCAAATGTGTCTGATCCTGCTGAAACTGAATCTGGGTGTCTGACCTTGCGGTCGGCGTCGTTCCTGCTGGAGTTTGCAAGAAACAACCATTCTTCCTTTCCCAATTATTCAAGTCCCATACAATGATCTGTGATATCAACAAGATAAAAGATTTCATGCCTGGTGGGACATCGAACCAACAGTTTTTCGTATGTATGAATTTAAGGAGGGGGAACTTTACCTGAGCATCAGCTCCAGAAGAAACAAGTATATTCAACAGATGGGAAAAGGCAAGACCAGTGACTTTCTTAGAGTGACCCTTAAGCTTGCTCTTGACCTTTTATAGTGAAAAATGTGAACATCTATGAGCTCTCTTTCGTGCTTATAGATGAAGAAATTAGTCCTTCCCTAATAAATATAAAACATACCTCGTCTAGACGAACATTGTATATGTAAACTGTGGAATCATCCATGCCAATAGCGATTATATTGTTATCTTGAGGGTGAAAAGCAAGATATGTTGCCACAGGTGGTGGAGACATGAATGTTATCATTTTCTGTAGTTATTCACAAAAAGTCTAAAGTGGTTAACAAAAATTTTATACGCTGCTCAGTACCATTCAAATGGGGATATTCGGATAATGCATTTTTGTTCTATAAGAACTTTTTATGCTGACAAACTATACCAGTGTTTAGAACCATCTTTCTTGGAACAATACCTTTGAAAACATAGAGTAAATTTTAACACGCCTAAACCATTGTAAGTAATTTGATCGCATGATCTGAAAAAATTACCTTAAATGACATCATGTTGAACAATGAAATTTTGCCTCCTGATGCAGACATGATGTAGGAGTCATTCTTGGACAATGCAAAACATGGCACAGTTTCAACCGAGTTACCCTCGATAAGATGATTGGTCATCAATATGCCTGATGCTGGTTGCACTAGTTGAGGGGTAACCTTTGTTGTTGCCTACACCACAAATAGTTCGATAGAATGTAACCAAATCAAAAGTTAGCATTTTTCTGTTCATTAGGTTCTTAAGATTGATTAGGAGATTCATATGATATGGAGGCAATTTCTTTACCTTCCCACTTTGTGGCCATTTCCACAGTAAATGAACGGCGTTAAATGCTAATGCCAAAAGGGCATTACCTGAATTAGTATAAATCAACCTTCCGATCTGAAGCAAGTAACAAAAAGAAGCCTATCAGAAATTTATAGCTGCTACAAGAAAACAAACAGTTCATTAGTTTACGACAAAAATTCTAAGGTATTAGTTCTGATGTTCGACTCCATCAGTATTTTTCAGATATTACATTCAATTCTTTTTAAGTTGTCCCAAGCAATTAAAAAATTACTGAATAAAATTTATTGATACTCGGTATCAACAAAATCATTCAAAGTGATAAACTTTGATCTGGTGAAAATAACTTTAATCTGGTGAATGTCATACCTTATCTGTTTGGAAACGAGCTGAGAGTTTGAGAGCACGAAATTGAGCAGGTGTCCTAATTTCAGTGAGTTGGCATGCTCTTACTGGGTTTACTTCTTCCGTTGATTTCGCTCTTGTATCCTCCGACTTTTTTGAGTCACCATTCTAGCAAATGCACCAAAAACATTAGTTTTAAAATTATATTGAATAAACTTGAATAGACCAAGATTCATTAGAGAGTTGAGATGAGAAAAGGAAAGAAGAAAGAGAATCAATGCCAAAAGAAAAGGTCAAAAGGAGGATTTAAAGGCTGAAGTTCACGATTGAGAAGGAAATGAACCTCAGGTAACCGCTTTGGAAAGCATTTTCCATAGACTATAACGTATCGACAATGTAAGAATTCCAGAATTAGTTAATTACCATTGCTGAAGCATCAGATGGAGGTGGTCTTGGAGCAACATGGGAATGAGTTTCATATGTTCGCATCAATCGAAGACCATCAACAGTCGCCAAAATTTTTATTTTATTCTCATTTGCAGAAACAGCTAATAAGGAACCCTCCTTGTTGAAACGGATACGAGGATTTGCCTTGAAATCAGAAAAGTTTATCATCACACTGAACTGTGAATCTTGTGGTGCAAAATAAGAAATATTCATTCAAGCATTTATCCACAACCTACATAGATGAAAATTAAAAGTAAACTAACCGGTAATCCTCCCTCAGCATCAACAGTCAATAAAAGAATGCAATTTTCCATATCCCAGAATTTAATTGAATAATCATCACCAGCTGCCAAGAAACGGTTCCTGGCAGTATCAAATTGCACAACGCCCAAAGAACGTTTGTAAAATCCTTGGTAGGTTCTCTTCACAGTACCTTCATTTTCATTCCATTCAACCATGTGGGACTCCCCTTCTTTTGTGGTTCCACATGAGAACAACCTACATATAGTTCACAGAGGAACCCGAGTTTTCATTTTGTTCATAAAACAGGAAAATGATGAAAATAACATTAGTGAAAATATGTCTTCCTATATATGAACCTATTTCCATCAGCAGTATAGGCCATTGTTGCACAGGAGCGACCAGGAGCATAGTAATCGACCCTGGATCCCATCATGTCATATAACCATGCCTTTATCTTGCCATCCACTGATGTTGAAAAGAAAAACTGAAGAGCGAAATCATAAGCCACATGATGCAAAGTAAGAAAATAACAACCAGAAAAACATGTATATCAAGCAGAGGTCTTACATGGACATTTTCTTTGTAATGAGGACAGACAGAATGTACCGCAGCTTCATGACCTTCAAATGTGTATAATTTCACGCCAGTACCTACGTCCCACACCTGAACTCAAAAAATTAGTATAGAAGTTCTGTTTTCCTCCTTATAAATGAAGATATAACTATTCAATCATAACGAACCTTGATGGTCTTGTCATCACCACAAGTAATAACCGATAGTTGCTTAGAGGGGTTACAAAATGCTAGATCATTTACAGCGCCAACATGAGAGTCAATCTAGAAATCAAATGTAATATTTTGTTAGAAAATTAGATAATAATATAGTTTACTACATTGTAGGAAGAAGATATGAGAACACACCTCCAAATGTTGTCGAACATCATTCCCTCCAAAATAAGTGTACAACTGCAGCATATGCTTAGAATATCCAACTCCTGCTTGGAAAGAAAGCAACAACTTATGAGAAAATACTTCTACTAAATTGGTAAGCTATTTCAAACACTAAATTGATGACATATGTTCAATCTCACCAAACAAAGAACCATCAGGGCTCCATAGTATACGTCTTACTGAGACAGATGGATCTTTGATTAAAGCTGCCTGTGTTGCAAAATTCGTTGAGATCGTCTTGGAGAAAATGAAAACAGCTGTAATCTCATTAGATTCTTTTCCTTATTTTCAAAAGAGACATACCTTTAATGCCATCGAACTTGCTCCAATATCCCACACCTGAAAGTTTCTTGAAATTAATTTCTCTCTTGAACTAACTTCCCACAAACTTATGTCCCCAATGTTTGTTCCAGCTGATAGTAACATCATACAAGGAAATATTAGTCATGATGAAGCCAACCAAAAAAAATAATCTGAAATAACGATCATAAAAGTAAAACCAACCCAGAAGGAGAGTTTGTTGAACAGGATGAAAGTCCATGCTTGTGGTAACTGATCCTTGGTTCAATGTGCGAGCAACAGTCTTGGGCAATTCTTCAGTCATGTTAAATTGCAAACCATTCTGAGAGGGATTCATTCCCGGTGGCATAATCTGGCCAACATGAACAAAACTTCGAATATAAGTAGGCTATAACTAAAACAGAAGTGTACTGATGCACTTAAAGTTTAACTCACTCACCCTGTCAGAAACTGCAGAAACCATTGCCATTGACATATCAGACCCTGAGAGACCCTTTGACACAGCAGCTAGACCCCATAATAGAACAGATATAGAAATGAGAAATTAAATTTAAAACCTCTAGTTATAGCTTGTAAAATATAACTGATTACTTACTGGGATTTGACTGAGCACCAAGGCCAACTCCTCCAGAAACTAATGGGTGATTCATGCTTGAAGGAGTTGTCACCCACACATTTGAAGGAACTTGAACTGATGTTGATGCAGGTTGGAATGACTTACAGAAGACAAAGAGTATGAAAAATTGTTTACTTTTGTTTGGTGGAATTCTGCAAAAGATGCTCAGAAAACCAAGTCAAGCCAGTTGCATATATGCTTACCCCATTTGCACACACTGGAATGAAGCCTTCTGTTCTTTGTGCAGAAACCATAAGCTGATTGCTTGAGGCTAGATGCGTGTATGGATCAGTAGAATTTCTACAACTGTGATCCACCATAAGAGTTCTGATATCAGGATTTTGCCTAGGATTTGGACAAAGAGAATGTTGCCAGTTTAAGCTGTCAGGTGCAAATTGGAATTAGTTTACCTTTTATTGATGAACGTTTCTAGAAATCCAAAAAATAAAAGTAATTTTGACTCGAACAAGAAGAAAACAGTCTATTTTCTTTCAATTTGATTATCTTCAAAGAGAAGTTTGCCTTTGATTAATGAGCATCCGCAACCTCGAATTTTTAATGTTAGGGAACTGCAGCTTGTCACATAAAAGAGGATTTGCCTCAATAAGCTTGTTGAGCTCAATCAACATATTTGATCTTGCTGTCTTTGCATCTCTATAAGTTGATAGTTGCTCATTCTCCCTGCAGAAAATGAGTAAGTTGCAATGTTCATAGAGTTTTAACCAAAAAGAAATATTGAAATTCGAAAAACATCAACAGAACATATACCTAAAATTATCTAATGTCAAGAGCTGAGTGATTTCCTTGAATAAATCCTCATTAAAAGAGGAAAAAACTTTAAGATCCTTGGTGAGGATATCGAGAGCCTTGGTCCTATCAAGCCTTATCAATGTAATACCATAAAAGCATAGAAAATATAATTAGATGAAACCACAGCAAAAAGGATAATCAAACTTTGTAATTAAAGAAGACTCTTGATTTTACTTGTCCAATGCCTCCAAGTATTTTTGCTTGCGGATTTCAAAAAACAGCTTCATGGAATAACGATTATCATCAACTTTAGTGAACCCAGAAAGATACTGCTCGACCTCCTCCCATTTTCCGCCGAGGATCAGGTCCGCAAAGTGCTTCACGCTGAAAAACAGCCCTGATTCCTGCTGAAGGCTGTTCAAAACGTTGAAAATTGGCATATTAAAGCAATCACCAATTACTAAAAGGAAAAAATATATATCATTAATGGTAATGCTTTTGGTGTTTGGGTTGAAATTTTACATGTGAACAGTTTCCTTGAACTTCTCTTCATCGAGGAACTGCATGATCAGGAAGATTAGATCTCTGCCAAGCGAAGTCGTCATTGAGACTAAACCTTCTTTATCTCTGCAACTTTCAAATGAAGCTCAATTAATTGAAATGAAAATGAGAGATTCTCACATAAGACAAATAAACATAACCGACAAAAGGACTGCTTCTTTTCTTTTCTTTTCTTTTCTTTTTTTATTAATTAAAATATGAAGCAATGGATTCAAAGTTTGTCTTTTTACTCTCAAATCCTGGGTTAAACGCTTGACAGACAAACAAACAAACACCAAAAGGCAATGCCGCGATGGAGCTATAAAATGAAAGCAAAACATCAGAATTCGTTTTCAAAACGTAATCAGGAATTCAGAAACCAAAGGTAATTGATTGACGCTGCTTATGAAAATCCCAGAGGTGGAAAAAAACCAGATCGAAAAGAACGAAAGTACAGATTTACAAGGACGAAATTCCCCAAAAAAAAAACCCAAGGGTTTTTTTAATAACTGATCAAAAACAGTAAAGTAACTTTAGTTAGTGTGTGGAAATTCAAGTTGTTGTAAAGTAGGATGTGTAGAAAAGAACATGTGAACACAACTTCATGTGAGAAAAAAAAAACAGATAAAGGTAAAAGAAGAAAACGATGAACAAAGAGCTTACTTGCACAAACAGAGAGCAAAGAAGAAAAAGAACAGAGCAAATCGAAGAAACAAAGAACCACAGCTTTCTCTCCTTGTTTTTCTTTTCTTTTCCCAAGGGGATGCCGCTTCTTGGATTTCTGAAGGGACTAAGACAAACGGGGGATTATATAGCGGAGCAGCAGTTTCGAGGATAAGCTGTTTGGCGTATCATGATAAGGGCATTTTCCAATGATAAGCCCATATGAGTTCACAGGTGCTGAAACGTGGGTCCCTCTCAAAAAAAGTCGGCCGACAGCTGTCTTAACTTTGTTAAAAGATGACAACAACAGTTGAGTTATAATCCTCACCTCATTTGAGCGAGTGAACAACACTCGCTAGACGGTTTCTTACTTCTTAGTGAAGGAATAAAGTTAAAAGGCTCACGCAAATTTAATATGTAAAATATAATGTGTACATAAAAATATGGAAATTTTAAAGATAATAATATAAACGTGTTTAATGTATTATACAAATTTAAAACATTTAACTAAAATTAGCTTAAAATTTTAAATTAATTGGGTATCTTTTTTAGTATTTGAAGAGTCCTTTCACTGGTTTTATTAAAAAAAAAAAAAGTCCTTTCACTAGCGGGTAAGTTGAATAGCTGATAAAAGGCGATTGAGAATGGAGTCTAGGCCTGTAAATGAATTGAACGTTCAGCGAACCGTTCATGAACTGTGCGGCGGAAAGTTTGTTTATATTCGTTGATTTATGTTTATTTATGTTCGTTCATTTACGTTTGTGAACGTTCGATTATATATTCGTTCATTTATGTTCATTTATGTTCGAACAGAGGGCAAGTTAAATATGTTACGAAGATTATTGAAGTTGTTTGAATTTCAAGAAGATTGTTTTGTTGAACAAATTAACTTTGAGACTTTATTATGATCATATAACTTATTTATGATTTATGTATGTTTTTGTCGTATTTGAACAAATTAACTTTAAAGTTGTAGGTTATATATAAAGAATTTTAAGTTGTTATTCTTGTTGTTTACTTTTTTTACATTCATTTGTTGTGTTCGAATAAGTTTATTTTTTGTGTTTGTGTTGTTCGTTTATGTTTATTTATTATGTTCGTTCGTTTGTGTTCGTTTACGTTCATTTATGTTCGTTTATCATTTAAATGAACGAACATGAACAAACTATATTCATTAATGAACGAACATGAAGAAAAAAAAATTCGTGTATGTTCATGTTCGTTTATGTTCGTTTATTTATTAAATGAACGAACATGAACATACCTCCATTCGTGTGCGTTCGATTCATTTACAAGCCTAAGGGGTCCTCTTTGGTCATTGTGATGGTCGAAAGTCGAAAATAACGCATTAGTTCTGATGCAACGGACAATAGCACGAAACTTTCGTCCCTATGAGTGGTATGGAACTCGGAAAGATGCACTTTAAAATTTAAATTAAATATAAAAATGCTTAATGCGTTTTCTTTTAATTTGTTGAGATATTTCATTTATTTATGTTTGTGTTAACTTTTTAGTTAGTTATAGGTTTAGTTTGAATTCATTTATGGTTTATGAAAGTGTGATTATAAAAAAATTAATTCGTTAGACATGATATATGGTGTATTTGTACATCATAAAATAATTATATAAAAGTATAATTATAATAATTACACGAGATTATGATTATATAAAAAAATTAATTCGTTAACTTGTTAAAAATGATAAGATACGGTTTTCCATGTATAAATTTTATAATATTAATTAAAAAATACATGTTTTAGATTTTCGACTTATTTCAAAAAGTACATTCATCATAATCCACTGATTATAACACTTAAGGGTTGTTTGTTTACTTCAGAATGATTAAGCGCTGAATGATTCAAATGTTAAATGATTCAGATGCTCTGTATGAATTAGCTCTGAATGTGACATGCTGTTTGATAATGGCTCCGAATCATTCAGAATGTACTTCTGTGTTGAATCATTCAACATTGTTTTGCTGAATCATTTAGATGTACGAAACAAACGCGTTGAATGCTGAACGGTTCAACATTCAGCGCTGAATGATTCCATGAGGTAAACAAACATCATCTTAATTAAACATATGAAACTAATCACATGCAATTATATTCAAATATAATCAAGTAGTAGTTTTATCTGTACGTCTTTAATTAATAAATTAAGGATTAGTACACTGTTAGGTATATTCCTCAAATTGATTTTTGGTGACTAAAAATTTTTCGTTAAAAATAAGTGCCTAATATTTTATTCATACACTTTTAGGTGCCTATCGTTAAAAAAATCGTTAAGTGACATGTGTCACGTTTAAATTTTAAATATATATATATATATATATATATATATATAACTAATAATTTATTTAAAAAAACAAAATATAAGTGTGACACATGTCACTTAATAATTTTTTTAACGGTGGATAGCTAAAAATATAACGGAAAAAATATTAAACACCTATTTTAAAAAGAAATCTTTAGACACCAAAAATCAATTTAAAATATAGTTTAAACACCTAAAAGTGTATTAAGCCATAAATTAATTACCCAAGTCTAATGAAGTAATTACATTTCAGAATGCATCTTTAATTAATGAGTTGATATATGTTGTTCAATATTAATAACGAACAATCAAAAATCGAATATTTGAAATTATTTAAAATTTTAATAGTTTATTTTAATGAATTATGAGATCATTAATTATAGTTTTACCTTAATAGAGAAGCTATATTAAGAAAAGCAAATCCAAGAAATTTAATTGAGGTTCAAATATAATATTGGCTTAATTGTTAGTTTTCAGTTAACTTTAATTTGATTTATAAAATTAGGTTAAAAGTTGTTGAAAATACCAAAAAGAAACTGACGCCTGAAATTGTTTCAGATTCCTTGAGAAGAAAGGTCATGCGTGCGTGCCAAATTTACAACCAATATCAAAGCATTTGTGGCAGATGTTATTCTCAAGTTCCTTTTGTTTTTAGATTAATTTAAATATACATTTAATATCTAAATCAGTTTTCTTAATAGAATAATAATCAATATTCAAATTTTAATTATTTTATTATTGATATTATTTTTTAACAATATTATATTACATGTCAATAATAATGATATCGTATATTTAAAAATATTTAAAATTTATTAATTAATTATTCTTACCAATTTCTTTATAATTGACCAGTCTTCACTTTTCTCATTTATTTTATTTTTATTTGAACCTCCAATATATTTTTCTTATTTTAACTAGAGACACCATTTTGTTTGTTTTTTCTGTGTAAAATCATATTTACTCTTCCCGCTAAATTTATTTTTAATTAATTTTTAAAAAAAATTAAATTTTTATATTTTGATTATGATTATTTTAAATAATAAAATTTTTATAAAATATATATTTCAAAAGTTCTTGAATATATTTTTATAAATAATGAATTTTAAGTAATAAAAAGTCAAAGTTGAAAAATATTGATCGAAAAAGTAAAAAACGAATAATTTTAGTAGAACTAATGGAGTAGTATTTAACTCTCACATTTTAAACCACATCAAATAATTTTAGTGGTAAAAATATGCGACTGGGTGTGAGTGCTTTGTAATTACTAATAACTATAAACAAAATCTAGATGTTTTAAATTATAATTCTAAATTTAAAAAAAAAAAAAAACCTAGTTGCTCTCTCCACTTTATCCTAATTGTTTTCTGCTTTTTTATTTATTTATTTAGAGTTTCTGTCATTCTCTATAGGTCATCAAAGAAATCAATATTTTTCGATGATTATACGATTCAAATATGAGACACTTTAAATTAATCATCGAAAATTTAGTCACTTAACTATAGTGTGATTTTTTTATTATACTAAACCTATTACTTTCTTATATCATTATTAAATTAAAAGACTAATTTTTTTACTTTATTTAGAAGAAAAAATTAAATAATTTATATATTTTTTATAAAATTATATGAAATAAAAAAATATATAGTTATTTTTTAAAATCAAATTATTTTATTTATTTGAAATAATATTATTTTTAAATTATCTATTTAATTTTAAATAATTTAAAATTCAGGGTAAATTATACGTTTAGTATCCAACTACCGCTTTAGCTCTACACAATATTATTTAAAATTAAATAGATAATCTAAAAGTAATATTATTTAAAATAAATAATTAATATTATTTCAAATAAATAAATAATATTATTTTAAAAAAATAAATAAATATTTTTAAAATATTTTCATAATATTATAAATATATTTTTTAGAATAATTTAATATAAATTTTATAAATATATATAAATAATCATTTAATTATTTTTAGGGTTTAGGTTTTCATATAAAGTGAAAAGTTATTCTTTAATTTAATAATGATTACGTATGGTAAATTGATACAATTTTCGTAGATTTCACACCGTATCCGCTCCAATTAGGGCGTAGATAGATATAAGTTTAGTGGGTAGTGGGCATGTGTGGATGTAAAAAGTCATACCTGCCGTGAATAGTGGATAGATGATGGGTTTAAGACCTTACCAACCCTGGATCTGCTCGCCCCACATCTTCTCGCCCACTAATTACCCACCATATAAATTTTGGACTATTATGAATTTAACTATAATTTCAGAGAATATTCTATAATTCTTAAGATTTTATAGGACATGATTTATAATTTATCCAAATGTTAGGATATAAACTTAATTAATCATTGGTTTATTTTACTATACTTCTTAGTGTTTGTTTTATATTTTGTTCCTTATGTAGTATGTGAGGTTACTTCCAAGCAGGTATAGGCTGGTACATGCGAGTACGAGACGAGTGGTGGATATCCAGTTAGGTAGTGAGTGTGAGGGTGGATTTAAAAATTTTACCAGTCGTGGGTAGTGGGTAGGTTATGGATACGAAAATATTATGTGGGTATGAGGTTGGAGGAAGGGGTATACGCTCACGTCCCACCCGTTTGTCATCCTTAATAATGATACAAGTAAGTATTAAGTTTGATATAATAAAAATAGATTCACATTATAGTTGAATTACTAAGCTTTCGATCATATTCAAAGTTTATAATCATAAAAAATATTAATTTTGTGGTGATATTATTATATAAGTTAAATATAAAATATGGTAAAATTAATTTAAATTACTAGTTTAATTCAATGGTTTAGTGCCTTGCAATTCATGTAAGAGGCATGAATTACTACTTTATTTTATTTTATATCCCTATTTAATTGATTGAATAAAATTAATTAAAAATATTGACGAAAAAATAGAAAAAAATGAAAATTAAAAGAATAAAAAATTGACATGTCATGTCACATTAGCATTATCATTAATGGTTTAAGAAAATAGGTACTAAAACAAAATAAAAATGATAAGTGTAAATGCTATGATAAGTGTAAGTGTTAAACGTATAATTTATCCTTTTAATATAATTTAATAGGGATAATTTAATTAGTTATGTATTTTGGTATGTTGCTTTTGTGATATGTTGTGATGTGTGACGTGCGGTGTAAACTTAACTTGTATTTATTTTTTCAATTTCAATTAAAAAGCTTAATTTAAAATATTTTTTTACTCATCTATTAATTTTTACAACTGTTACCATACTTATATTGCATATTTTTAATAGATCAATATTGTAGTTATCATATTTATTTTATTAAATTATATATTTAAAAATGTTTTAAAAATATTTATCCAAACAATACTAGTACAATAACTACTAACATTTTTTAACATGGTTATCAAAATCGGACCGGACCTGTAGGTTCAACCGGTTGAACCATGAATCGGTGGCCTGTCCGGTTCGGTTACCTCACAAAACCGGTCTAGCAATGAACCAGCTGAAAACCGGTAAAATCGGGGTGAACCGGCTGAAAACCAGCAAAACCGGTTTGAATTGCCGGTTCACTTTTTTCTTTTAAAAAAAATTAAACCAAACAACGTTGTTTGTTCAACGAGCCAAGTCAAATTCGAGTATTGCTGAGCTCGACTCAAACTCGAAAACTTTAAAAGTAAGCTCAACTCGACTAAAAAACTCACGAGCTAAAAATTATCAAGTTCAACTCGAACTCGAAATATAATATTAAAACTTGAACTCGAAATGGCTCGAACTCAAAAAAAATTAGAAGTTCGATTGAAGCCTAAAATTTGAGCTCAATTGAAGCGAAAGAATAGTTCGCTCTGTGCTCACCAAAATGCTCCATGATTTTGAATGTCAAATTACCTCTATTATTTATAGAAGTAAGTCGGGATGCTCTTCTATGTTTCTTAGCCATGTGGGATTATTTTTTAAAAAAAAATTAAACCAAATGCATCATTTGTTATGATTTTTTTAAGTCCCGATTTTATTTTTTGATTATAGTTATATAATTATATTTATTATTTAATATGTTTTATCTTAAAAATTATGTTGTAATTGATTTAAATCATTTTTGTTTCACTTGATTTTATGGTTTTTAATTTATATATGTTATGACTTGTGATATTTTTATATCTTTTAATATTTTAAACTTAAAAAAAGTGTTACATATATATTAATATTGCTTTGAATATTATGTAAAATTAAAAAAAAATATTATTTTATATAAAATTCAGTTCAACCACGGTTCAACCCGATTGAACCAGTGAACCAGTACCTTCATCGGTTCAATGTCCGGTCCAGTTTTAAAAATATTGTTTTTGAATTAATAGAGTTCCAAAAGTTTAAAAAAAATTGTCCAAACACGCCCTTAAACAATACTAGTACGAGGAATTTGTCTTTTTTAAAAAATTGGGGATAAAATAAATCCAAAAGAAAAGGAAATTAAAGAAATCTTAATCACGATATTCATCAACCCAGTGGGGTTAGCATCGGAAGACAATAGCAACGAGTGGACCCCACTATGGGACCCATGTACAACAACGGACTTATATAAGGCGCGTACGTGTCACTTCCATTTTACCTGAACCCGAGCCAAAATGACTGAACCGAGAGGCAGAGCTTCTCAAGCTAGCTGGATACCATATTGTCTCTCGACTATTGAATTCTTTAAATCAAGTTGAAACTTAGCTCAGTTTAGTTGACGATAACCGGAATTTGTTTAGAAGATGCCCCCGTGACCTATTGCTTTTCGTTCTTTCAGTAGGAACGGACATTGGAGACATAGGGATCGGGAGGGAAAAAGGCTTTCAAGAAATTTTATGGGTTTAGAACATTGGAGCATGCTCAGCGATATTGAAGGTCTTTCTTCTTCAAGACTGCCATATATCTTAACAAGAAATTAGTTTGAAAATCACTTGCATGATTAGAACCATTTTAATTATGTTCAGACGACTATGATGAAAGATCCATGTCGGTTAACTGTGTCGCTTGGAGTCCTCAATCCTAATGGTTCTTTCTTTGGTAAGTTTAAAGAGATGTTGGAAAACTTCATTAAGAAATGATGAATTATTCAAATATGGTTGGCGATGACGAGATGATTAAGGTTGTTTACGTTTCATATTATCTCAAATGTCAATTTTGCATCATGGAGAAAGTGATCAATCAGCTAGTTGATTCTTTTAGGTGTGGATGCCATTTCTAGGAAGATATCCATGTAAGAACTACTCTGGATTCAACTATACAAGTATGGGACATAAGATGATCATCACATTGCCCTAAACCCAAAACACCTCAGACGAATTAAAAAGTACGGAAATTTAACATCAAAACAAACTTGAGCAAATAAGCAATTGGCAGAAACAATTAGGCATTATCAGTCTCGATCTACGAGCAAGTAACCCATCAATTGATCAATTGACGGGTCTCGCAAAATGCATGTCATTATGTTTATATGTTACAGATTAAATCAAATGAGTTGGGACTGCCAGAAGTTCTCACACCAGAGAGAACAATTTTATTTCAAGCATCCAACTTTGCTGCAGCAGATGCATAACTCACACTACTGTCTCTTGTTGTTTTGCACTGACTAGATTGCTCGTATCTAAGGAATTTGATCTTTATTCTCATTGAACTGTTCCTTAGAATCTGAAATATTCAAAGATAAACATGGCCATTAAAAAAAATGAAAAATCAGGAAATTGAAATAACCATTAGTAGGCTTTTTGAGGCACTTACATGAAGGAAAACACTGATTGGATGGCGTCCACAGATAGTATTGTGATACTCCGACAGATATTCTTCGAATGCATCTGCATCTCCTGTTTCTAGTATATCCTTGCCCATCTTGTCCAAGGCTTCTATCGATTTATGTATGGCACCATACTTCTCGTCATAGTGCATGTAATTAAACCTGGAACCAAAAGGAAAAGCTAAGTATTAGTTACATAACGTAGAAAACCAAAATCATTCATCCAAACATTGAATAAGCTTTGATGATTCATATCATATATATCATATCATATAATTAAACCTGGCACCAAAAGAATGTATTTGTACTTTTGATAGGTAATCAGTAAATAAAACCATCTATGAACCAGCTGAATAACTAGTGTTTGAAAATAGAACTAACATTTCATATAACCTGGATCATATAAAAGTCTACATCACACAGCTTCCCTTTTAGGGGTTTAGGAGCGAGGTAAGTTTCTGGTATACTAAAAGATGTAGCTAGTATACATATGAAGACATCTTGTGCATCATTCACAACAAATATGGTATTTTTGCCAACAAAAAAGGTGAGATTTAAGAGGAAAGGAAGACTGAATCCAGCATACCGAGTACCCCAGTGACAAAAATCTGATGATACAGAGAAGAAATTTTGAGGATCATCTATATACTTGGCCAACAACTTTTCATACATCGATTCATTTTCAGCACTAAGAGCACCATTCAAAATTGGTACAATTTCATTGGATGCCTATATCAGCATCACACAATCAACTTCAATTAGAATCAAGTATAGAGCATTGCTTAATATATGTTTGAAATTTACCCCTCATACTTTTGCAAGATAAGGCAAGTGCATTTCCATGCTATGCTCTGCTTCATCAACTCGAAGATTCATCAATTCAAATTTTCCTGCGGTTTTCAGCTCTTCGATGACTGAAAGATGAAAAGAATGACTACTTTCGCATCGAGGACAAAGAGGCTTAGGGATTGGGGGGAAAACACAAGCCACTCATTATGGGAAAAGAATTACCAAAACCAAAAACCACAGTCAATTGGTTCAATAAAATATAGTGCGACATTTTACTGGACTTGTCAACAAAGCTAATCTGATATGATAAGAAGAAAAATGATATTTAGCTCGATGTGAATGGGCATCACTCACCTTCCAAATCAATAGGTGAGTCCCTTATCGGTGTCTTGTACATCGTAGCAGTTGACACAGCACATTTTGAAGTGTAATAATGGTGAGATGGACCGAGAAGGAATATCCGAGAACTGCACTTGTTGATTTTCGTGAACATCAGTCGATTTTAATAACAAATGAAGCAGATGAAGTGATTGGTTTTTAGCTCAAACATTATAATCTTCACATATTCAGTACAAAACATCTTAACAAAGTTTGGCTCAAGATAAGAATAATGATTAAAGAAATGCATATTTCCTAAGGATCGATATACAATTTGTGATATTAACTATAACAATCAAAGAGGAGAAGTATAACAAAAGGCGCACATGTTCGTTACATGTATACTTGTTTTAGGTTATCTCTCTATAGTATTATATATATCATGTTTTTAACTTATTATAATTTTATATTTAATTAAAAGGGTTAACTACATGAAAAATCACTTACGTTTATGTTTTGTCGACTTTTAATCATTGATTTCAAAAAGCATAAGATACGATCACTTTCGTTTTTATTTAATTAAGATGTGATCACTTTCGTTTTTATTTAATTTAGATGTAGTCACCCCGAGTTAACTGTCGTTAACAATAGTTAAATATTTTGATATAACCATACATTTTGTCTATGTTATTTACATATTCTCTCAATTTAGTCATATTTTTAATAAATTAAAATAAATTTAATCATATTTTACAACTCTGAGTTGATTTAGAATTTTTTCGAGTCAAATCGAGTCAAATTTTTGAGTTTATGTTTAAATTTAATTATAAATATTTATAATATTATGATATTATTTTATTCCAATTTAAATGATCTTTTATAACCATATACAATACATGTGTATTTCTTCATTTTTCTTTTCATATGTGATATACATTTATGATACAAAGTTGAGAGACTCAATTCAAACTTAGAAATCAATTCACTAATTACTAAAATTTTTGAGTTATTCGAGTTGTATTTTACAACTCGGTTTGAACTTGAATTTTTTTCGAGTCGAGTTTATGAAAGAATATGTAAATAATAGAGACCAAATGTGTGATTATCAAAATATTTAACTGATGTTAACTCGGGTTGACCACATTTTAATCAAACAAAAACGAAAGTGCCCATATCTTATGTTTTTTAAAATCAGTGATCAAAAGTGGACAAAAAATAAACGTAAGTGAATTTTCATGTAGTTAACCCAATTAAAAAATTATATAATTTTCAAATATAGAAAATTTTAATGTAAGAACAATACGTTATATAAGTTGTTTTAGATGAATAGAATCGACCGTTGATTATTATTCATAAACAAACAAAGAATTGAGTCCTACTTTAGTTCAAAGTTCAACAAGTGTTGATCACATCTTATAAAATGAATTTGCCGTGTTGAGGTTTCATGGCACTAACCGGGCATAAGCTACAATAAAGCCCAAATTAATTTGATTGATAAAGTATAATCTACCATTATATAATAGGGTAGGCTTTCAAACGAGAAAGAATAGTGTTTAATTATTATTAAAGAATGTCACCATCCTGTACCAACCAATTATAGGTGAGGGAAATAAATAGTGAGAGCACGTATATAATGATATGATTAGGGAAAGGGAAGCTATGGATAGCGTGGGTGACAATATTGTCTTTCGGCGCTCTGTATCCTTGCTCCTTTTCTTGAGAAGGGGGATGAGATGTGTATTACTCATGGGTCGTATCGAGCCTCTCTTAGAGCGTTGCTGTCCTATTTTTCGATAATATCTGCTATCTTTGTTGTTGATTCTCCGGTGATGCGATTCGTTTATCATAGGTATTGTGAAGTCGTCTCCTAGCTAGGAGCTCTCCCGATTAAAATCAGCATGTCCTCAGAACTGTGATGACGATCAAAAGGCTTGTGACTACTTTATGGTGTCTCTGGGTTCTTCGAAACCCCAATAAAAGTAAGATGGGAACCGACGGTCCATGAAACAAATGTGAGCATTTCTGCCTAATGATCCAAAAGAAACCCGACTCAAACTCAACCCAATATTCCTTCTTTAATTCTGATTATTTGGGTACTTTCATTTAATTTATCAATATAAAGGAAAATTCCAATCAAGTATATGGTACATTAATAATCATACTGATTTTAATTTACCAGTTCTCGAATTTGATCTCAAAACATTTTTTTTTCTTGTTTAAAAAAATCAAAGTGGAAGAAAATGATCCAAATGGAGTTGACTATCATCAATTACCCAGGCTGAGCTAAAAATACAGTAGGTAAAGTCCAGGCGAAGTTGATGAGCCTTAAATCGTGGACATGGTTTCAATTTATTCCGCAGTAAAGGAACCCTGTTCGGGGACCACTGTCAATCGTGCCAGGCCCAGCCATATAAATGGATGCTTTGTCTCAAGAAGCCGCGCAGTGAAAATCATTGCCTAAATGAGAAACCATCAGTTGGCCGAAAAGAAAGGAACAGATGGCTATGTGATATACAAATTCGTTGGGCCTGGTTTCTGCCATTCGACAATCGACAAATATGTTACATCCGTTGTCTGTTGAAACCATGGGCTTATGCAGGCTCGAGGAATCAAAATTAAGCCCTACTTAATTTACTTTTCAAACAAATCCCGACAATTTTCTGATGTTTTTTCTTCTTCAATCGAGTGCAGTATTCTTACGAAGTTAAACTAACAATTGACTTGCTTTTCCTATAAAAAAACCATTGGCTTACTGTGCATAGTATTCATTTATGGTCTTTCAATAAGCTCATAAATCATAAACCACGAAAGATCATGCGTCACTCAATTATTCAAAATAAGTCGACCCAACTGCTACTCCTAGTGTTCTAAGCAATCCAATATAATCTGAATCATCCACGTTTAGTTGTGCTAAACTTGAATGGGGTACAACCCCATAAGGATTTGGTGTTGATTTGATGATAGTTTCTTGTACTCAACTTGTTATATATTTTATAGGGAATAGATCAATTTGTTGAAAGGCTAAATAAAGTTATTATACCTTAAGAATATTACAATCAAATGATCCAAAAAAGAGCAAAGTTCAAAGTCTTTTATGAATTGTAGCTTTACAAAAGTAGGGCCGTCTAGTTAGTGTGATATGATTGTAGGAATTAGGGTTCTTCATGTCTAACCAACAAATGTTGTTTAGACAATTCATAATATGGCCATGTGCTGACTTACATAATTAGGGCCATTCTTTTTGTATGACAAGTGATGAAAGATATAAGAGCAACAGAGAAGCAAATTAATTTTACAATGACTCGTGGGAAATAAATAATATACTTAACATTTTCGTGAGAAACCGGTAGGACTGGAAATTGATTTTCGGTGGTGATTTTTATATATGGAATTTCATTTAAATCACATAGAATAAATTTAATAATTTATTATTTTTTGAGTTTTTCTTTTGACATGAAATTTTAGATAGGATGGAATAATCTTTATTTTTACCCTTATCATTAACAAAAAAAAAATCATGCTATTACTTATGAGGGTAAATTACATTAGTAGACATTGATTTTAAGATGTTTTCATTTTGATCATTAAATTTTTAATTTACTTTTATTGTGATAATTATCGTTAAAAAATATTGATGTGACATTTTAAATCATTCTTTCCAAAAAAAATTCCTAAGATTTCAAATTTGTTATCGCTATCAAAGTCAAAATTTTGATAAACGAAACAGTCGTTTATCAATCCCAATAGTAAAGTCTAAGGATGATTCGTTTGGTTAGAAGCACTGGTAGATACAGAAATTTAATAATGAGGTCTATCTTTTTAAAATGATGGGTATGCAATTTTTTTTCTTTTTTTTTTATAACACATTAAACTAAATTTAATAATTTTATCAAAATAATGAGACTAAGTGCATCCGCCCCTAGTAAGAAGATTAACACAATTTGATTTCAAGCTATGGGAAGAAGCTATGTTGCGTCCCGGGGGGCCATTGCCCCCTACCTTTTTAATAATTTAAAAATATACAGGGGTAAATACTAAATTAAACCTTCTAATTTTAGTTTATTCTGGTTTTGTTCCTATTTTTGTGGTTAATTATACTTTGCTCCCTTATTCTTTATGATTAATTATATTTTGTCCCCTTAAGTTGATATATTGGTCGTCTTTGCTTAAACTGATCCGAAAGTTGATAGTGACAAAAAAAGTTTTTAGTTTCAATTAGGATTTACTTGGAATTTGAGGGGATTGAAAGGTTTTTCAACAATGTTGAACCAAAAGAAGAAAGAGAAGAAGAGTAGTAGTTTGGTGATTTTTTCGACGGGAGAAACAATTAAACAATGGTATAGACAATGCTCCCATAAAAAATAAAAACTAAAATTTTTTGATCGGTTATTGCTAACTATTAAATCAATTTGAAATCGAACTATGTTAGTCTTTTGGTCAAACTCAACTTTTACGATGGCTGCCAATTTGGTAAATTAGGATTTTTTTAGAGAAGACTCCACGTCAGCATTTTCTAACAACTAATAATAATGACCATAATGAAAGCGGAATATAAATTTAGTGATTCTAATATAAATTGAAACAGCTTGATGATTAATTTGAAAACATCTTAAAAATTCAATGACCACCAATATTTTTATCCTACTTATTATACGATGATCTTACATTATATTCTTCAAATGCAACAAGTTCTTTTTTATTGTAGAAAGAGGTATTACATTTTCAAGTTAAATATATTTGAATTTACATAAAATGATAATATGAATACACTTTATTACTTATCCAATTAATGGGTCTCAAATCCAATGAGACTCTATAATAAATGTAAGGGAAAAAAACTAATAAAATCATATAAAAGATGTAAGAGAGTAAGAGTAGGTGGTGGGCTTTGCATTCATTGAAGTAAATATTGCTTTACAATTCGAAGCCTAGTAATTGATGCTGGAAGTGTGGAGCATTTGATTTCATTCTGTCAATTGCATGGAATCAACTTCTATCATCTTTTGCTTACATATTACTTCAGTTCTGGAAAAGTTAATAATTCATACAATTTTCTTTTTAAAAAGGTATTAATTTAGACAGTTTTATTTCGAGAAATTAATAGCAATTCGAAATTCAAAATCGATAGCTGGTTAAAGCTATAAGCTAAGAAAACAATATGGCAATTGACAACAACGTTCATATAGATGAGGATCACTGGCTTTTGTGTTATTTGAATTATTATTGTTTTAATAGTTTCGAAACTTCAATTCTTTGTCCGATGACGTGATTTTTAACAAGAAGCAAAACCCATAATTTTGTCTTGTTTTTTTTTTCTTGCTCATAGTGAGGGAATTTTGGAAATCTGATCGTACAAGCGGAGCTGAGAAAGAAAACTGACACGATAAGTAAGCTTGATAAACGTATATCAATGGTATTATTTTATGGTATAATTATAAAATAAGTGTCTAAATCATATCATTTTTTTCAAATGGCGACCAATCGATATTTTGTACCCTGCGATGACTGCTGCCCTTTACTGTCGACGAAACTCCATCCGACCTCATCTCCCCCAACGATCAATAACTCTATGAAATCGCGACCAATCGACGTTTTGTACCATGCAAACCCTAGGTTGAAAATCATGACCCCACGTGATCTCGACGATTAATCGACAACAACTATGACAACACATGACTAGAAGATGACAGAGACTACGTCGACTGAGGTGGTCGTGTCCAATAAAAGTGACGACGGCGGGTTAGATTTAGGGATTTAAGTTTTTTTTAGGGATTTGGAGTTTTTGTAATTTAAGTTAATTAAGGGTTTTTTTATAAATATAATAATATTTTTTTAAAAAAATTAAAATTACCAGAATACAACACATGCCAGTTAATGAAAAAAATTAACAGATAATTATGACTCAAGCATCTAGAGTGATAATGTTTATAATGTTAATCACTTAGATATTTGAAAAAATTTAAACACTAATTTAAAAAAATATAGTTTAAAATTTTATTTTATAATTAAACTTTATTTTAAAGAAGTTGCCCACATGATTGTGTTGTGTGAACTAAGCATCTACTGTCTGCCTGCCCCACTCTCAACATAAATAAAATAACTTTCCTCTGTGATCCCTTTTTGCTTTTTCTACTTTTTAAAACATAAAGACAGTTAAAAGAAGAGCAACCAGAGCCTAGAAACTAATAGCCTACAACTCTACCACATCCAAATTTTACAAATTCAAAGGCTGAGACTTTGCTATATATCATATCCCTTTCTTCATCATTTTTGAAGAAATTTCTTCCGTTAATAGGAACAGTAAAAAGCATTATTATTGTTTGAAAAGAAACCAAGCGATGAAGAAGCTTCTGACTCTGCTCATTTTCCTTGTTTCTTCTCATGAAACCATTATTGTTTCAGCATCGGCCGTGCAAGGCGGCCCTCTTGCTCACTCTTTATCCCCTCTTTCGTCACCCGTTTCCACTCCCATCTCTGCTTCAATGTCTGCATTCTCTCCAGGTAGAAGAACTACTTCAAAATTTAGTAATGAAACTGCCCATTGCCTCTTTTTTTTTTTTTTTTGACTCTGTTAGCTAGTGGACATAAAACACTTGTTCCCCCCCCCCCGACTGTCTAGGTTGTTTCTGGTTAGACTTTAAAGACAATCTTATCCGAGTTCAAATTTTCATTCGGTGCATTTAATATCTTCAATGTGGACAGTTTTTGATTCTAAAATCTCTTCAGATTTCTAAAACCGGAGAGCATTTTGCTTGGAGAAGGAAGTTTTCGTTTTTAAGTTTATGCTAAAAAAGTTATGCTTTTGACTCTATGAAGTGGTTTAATGAGATAGCAGGATTTCAACTGGGAAGCGAGGAACACAAAAAGAAGGATCCACCCAAGAAAATGTCAATAGCTCTCATTCTTGCTTTCTCTTCCTTGGCTGCAATTATCTCTTCGATGTTTTGTTTATGGGTTTATTACATTAAGAATTCACGCATATCCACCAGAAATGATGACAAAAGTTCAGGTACATTGTTTGCACTCCATACTATTTCAGTTTCTCTTCTTAGTTCTGGGACTTTGAAAGTTTGGGTTTAGAACTTATGCTTCTTTTTCCTATGTTTCCCCCTCTTTCCATGGTTTTGGATTTGAAGATGCTGAAAAAGGGGCTGGTTTGACACCATTTTTTGGTAAATTCAAGCCTACAAGGACAGTTTCTAAGGAGAGTAATGCTTCATTCATGGATTATAAGATGCTTGAAAAATCTACAGACAAGTTTCATCAAGGTAATATTCTAGGTCAGGGTGGATTTGGGTGTGTTTACAAGGCTCAATTCGATGATGGTTCTTTTGCTGCTGTGAAGAAGTTGGACTGTAAAAATCAGGATGCAGAAAAAGAATTTCAGGTATTATTAAAAAAAGAAATTTATCAGTCCCTTTTATGTGTTTTCAAGGATTTCATATCTTTTCGTATGTTGAGTTATATTGTATGGAATTGCAGAATGAGGTGGATTTGCTATGTAAATTTAAGCATCCCAACATAATATCATTGTTGGGTTTCAGCAGTGAAAATGAATCAAGGTTTATTGTATATGAATTAATGCAGAATGGTTCCTTGGAAACTCAGATACATGGCAAGCACTCTCTCACCCTCTTCGACTCTCATGAACAACTAAAGAACTCACCAATATAAACAAAATGTGTTAATTATTGTTTCTGGAAAATTTTAAATTACATCTCAGGACCTTCTGAGGGGTCGTCATTAACATGGGATAGAAGGATGAAAATTGCTTTGGATACAGCTAGGTAAGTCTTTGTTTTCATTTTTACTTTTTTCTCTTAGTTAATGAATATGATCTAATAAATTAACAATTCTTGACCAGAGGATTGGAGTATCTGCATGAACATTGCAACCCACCAGTCATCCATAGAGATCTGAAATCATCAAATATTCTTTTGGATTCAAACTTCAACGCAAAGGTAAAGATTATGCTGTTGGACATTCATTATTCATGTCTTGTATTGTCCATCGAAGCTCACTTTCTTTTAATTTCGCCGATGCAGCTCTCAGATTTCGGTCTTGCGGTAACTGACGCAGCCCATAAAAAAAATAATTTGAAGCTTTCTGGTACTTTAGGTTATGTTGCCCCAGAATACCTTTTAGATGGTATGTAAGCTTCTGCAAATTATCTGAAAGTGAAGTTTATAGATAAGGAACCTAAATGAGTTGTCTGTTTTCCTTTTATAGGTAAACTAACAGATAAGAGCGATGTGTATGCATTTGGTGTTGTGCTGCTGGAACTTCTATTGGGAAGAAAGCCTGTGGAGAAACTGGCACCAGCTCAGTGCCAATCTATTGTCACATGGGTATGCATTCCTTGCTCTTACGACGATTCACTTAAAAAAATGAAGGGTTGTTTGGAAATCTGAAGCCATATCTATTATTGAATGCAGGCCATGCCTCAGCTTACCGACAGATCTAAACTCCCAGACATCGTGGATCCTGTAATACGAAATACGATGGATTTAAAACACTTGTATCAGGTTGGTAAGCTACTGTCTTTGTTTACCTGCTATGTCACACAAGTCTCACTGGTTATGGTTAGGTAGGTTAGGTAGGAATGAGTGAGCTTCGAACCCGTTCATTCATTTTGCAGACTGATTGGTTTTGCTGAATTTGACTCTATTCCCTTAGTTACTACATTGGTAATTAAAATGTGGAATTGTACTATACAGGTTGCTGCTGTTGCCGTTCTGTGTGTGCAGCCCGAACCGGGCTATCGGCCTTTGATAACTGATGTTCTGCACTCGCTCATCCCTCTTGTTGCTATGGAACTTGGAGGGACTCTAAGAGTTACACAAGCTGCTGCCCCTTAACACCAAAAACTACCCCATGTGTGTTTGACTATGTCTCCAATTCCAAATCATAAGTGGAACATCAGTTCCATGGCCCATTGTAAGCAAAACATTTGATGATAATGTATACCTTTGGGGTGAAGAGTGAACATTAGCCGGTTGAGCTGGAGTTGGAAGATTTTCTGATTGTTAATATATTTTGTAAATTGCACTAAATTTGAAAATGCTTTATACAGCAATTTTAGATTTATTTGTCCATACAATTATAATTTGGTTAAATTTTAAATTCCCAAATTAAACGAGAAGTTACATTTACCTTCGTACTTTTTCCAACTAATCATTATAAAATGATAAAAAAGATTCGCATTATTATCAAATCTTTAATTAAGATCCAATAATAGGTTCCAATGGCCACGTAGCTGAAATGATTAAAAAGATATAGTAAATATACAAAGAGCATAGCAGATACGATGATGATATAAGCGATAATTATAGTGCATTAGGTACACCTGCATGGGACTTGGAAGGCGGTGAGAGGCAAACGAATTGTTCTTTTGTAGAAATTAATGGGTACTTTTATGGCTCACACAACCTCAACCCACAAGTTGACGAAACGAAGAGTAAACGTGTGCATCGGTTGCTAAACAAAATCGAGTGGTCATCCATGCAAAGCGTTTTAAATAAGGAAAAGAGGATGAATATGATTTAGCATGGCCATATGGTTCCTTCATTTAATGTCACAATGAGTGGGAAGCAATAAATACAATACCAATTTTATTAGAGGGACCATACATTTGATTTGTTTATTTTTATAATAGAGATCCCATCCATTAACTTCCGATGCCAGAAGCTTTTGGAGTGGTCGAGTGAATCCAAACCTTAGACACAATTATAACATTATGAAAGTAACATAAAGTTGCATAAATACATGAACTACGATAACTAAATTTCAACATTTCTCTACTAGCACAGGAACTCTTCATTGTTTGAGACAAAGTTATAATAATCAATAATGCTCTCCAGATTTGCTGTGTTCATTGAAAAACTTCAAAATTTCTACATTCAGCAAAACAAACTAGAGATTGCAAAATGCCTCTATCAAAACTCGAAATAAATGAGTGTTTAAGGCCCTGGTCAGCACAAACATTATTACAAAATCTTTTTCATAAAATCACTTCACTTACTCATGGTTTTGGCTCAAATCACTTGAAAAGTTTTCCTTAATTTTAACTGATATTGTGGTAAGAATCAATGGCGGCATCTGCAAGGTATTCACACTTGGCCAACGATAATCCTGCAAGGGATATCCTTCCATCCTTGGTCATATATACGTGCCACTTGTTGGTCATGTTATCACACTATTAAGAAAAGAAAAGAAGAAAACCATTACAATAAGAATATTGTCATATGATGCCTTGGAAAATTCGAAACAGAACTATAAACATAATCCAATGTTGAGTCATCTAAATTTGAATCCATTTATCATGCTAACTCAAAGGTGATAATACCGTCCTAAAAATACTGATTTCGTTTTAAACCAATTATGTTCTAATCCTTCAAAGGCCAAAAAAAACATTAATCCAACATGAGGTTATTGGTCAAATATGTGGTTATATAGCTATATTTCACTGTCATATAGGGTGCCATAAATGAATACCCCAGAAATTTCCAAAATACAAAGAAAAGGTGGGAGCAGGTTATTACCTGAGTTGTGTTTAAGCCAGTGAACGAAAACATGCCAATCTGCTTAAGAACGAATGACCAATCCTTCCCACTTTTATCTTTGGAAGAAAGATTGTCAAATAGTTTCTGCCTCACATGCATAATTCTCCCTGCCCTCATTTCCGTCTCTGCATTCCACTCCTTGAAGAAAGCTCCATCCCCAACAATACTGGCAACAATCCTAGCCCCATGAACAGGAGGCTTTGAGTACATTGGTCGAGCAATTCTTTTCAGTTGGCTCTTAACCCTGAAATAGAAATAGACAGAATATAACTCAGTCCCTAAACAATATATCAATTACCATTCAAAGAGACTAGAAACCAGAAGCGAACTATGTGTAACATGTCCAACTCATTTGAACTAATATTCACGGGAGCACCTGGTGGAGGGACTAGGATGTGAAAAGACATAAAATAGTTCTACTGTTATAACTTTGCCAACAGATTCGCAAGTGCCAATGTAAAAATAACCATCAATTAGTTTCTATAATACAAATTCTCTATGCATCAGAAAACAAAGGGCATTAAATATGCTGACATATTTAAACTTGAGCATCATCTTCTCACTCTCAAAATGAAGGGAAATTATATTTCACCACATGTAACACAGCATAATTACTGAAAAATAAAAGAAATCTAGCTACATGGCTTATTGTGCATTTGCAATCATTTCTGGTTAGCTTAATTGAAGAAAAGGCTCACTTCATAACATTCTACAGTATCAAGCAAAACTGCACCTTGCAGCAGCATCTGATGACGAGCAAACAACATTAATTGCTCCAATCCTTTCTGCATAAAGGCCAAGATTTTTACTGTATGACTGAGCAGCAATGACCTCCATACCACGAGCCACAAACATCCTCACAGATGCTGCGTCAGCATCAAGGCTTCCACTTGCAAATCCCTATCACCAAAAGTAATTCAACAAGTTCTCATTAAAATATCATATTTTCCATCTTAATATGATATTACCGTCAGCATTCAGGCAATCATTACCTGGTATGCAATATCAAAAAATGGAATTTGGTTCTTTTATTTATTTATTAGAACTGATTTGGCATGAAATGCTTTACATCTGAATTGATGATTTTCAGGTGATACTTGATACGAATGACTTTGATATAAGACGGATTTATATTATTATATATTATTTTATGATATTGACGCCAGACAGAATAGTGATTATCCTGTAGGCTAGCTCCGACAGACGATTCACAAGAGAAAATTCGCCCAAAAACCAGAGAAAAAAAAAGTCTCTAGGGTTTAATAAAATATTATAAAATCAATAACTCCCAAAAGCAGTCCACAAGCCGGACTGTTATAGCTAAAAAAATCGTCTTTATTCGAATTTTGCCAAAAATAGCAAAAATCGTATTTATTCGAATTTTGCCAAAAATAGCAAAATCCCGAAAATCACTCTAAATTGAAATTCGAAATAAAATAAGCAATCTCCCAAAAATCCGGTCTAAATCGGATTTAAATTGACTTCCTAATTAACAATCGAAATATTACCATAAATAGTAAAAAATAACTAAATCTAGTGATTCGGAGGGGAAAACGGCAGAATTTGAGGTTGAAAAAAAGGCCACATGGAGCGTAGCTCAATGTGGAGAGCGTGCGCGTCGAAAAGAGCTTTCCGGATTGGGGTCTTATGCGCGATTCTGACACCTGTAGCCAAAGTTATGGCCAAAAGACTGAAACATACTCAAAACGACCCCAATAAGGAACATGTCACAATCAATTCCCGCCTTTGCGCTGATCTGCCAACTCATGGTATCTCAGCGCCATCAACGTGCAATCTGACAGCTCAGCATCATCTGTCTCAGATCCCCCTGCATCAGATATCTTCGTTCTAACATTATATGATATGTTTTGTATTATTACTATGTATTATCTTGTATTTTTATATTAATGCCTCACTAAATGTATATTTAGCGTGTAATCGATTTACACGTAGGTTGATCGTAGTTATCGAAAGTAAGGAGGAGTTGCGCATAATTTCCTATTCGAGAGAAAACCACAGGCCACTACAGTAATTACATCTTCGTTGATGTATTTTGATTTCATAGTTGACATGTATATGTTTTTATAGTCGGTTTTATGATGTGTCAGCTCTGTTATAATTATAAAAATCACTAGTTTTTGTGTGATGTATGTAACTAGACTTAAATAGTTTGAAATTTTGTTATAAATATTTTTATATAGTTTTAAAGAAACGAAATTTTTCTAAAATTGGGTAAGGAATGTTTTTAAAAGTTTCGGGTGACATCTCCAACTCGTGTTCGGTAACGAATTAATAAAGGAGTGTTACACATATATTTATGAGCAACATCGATTAAATGGGGCATTGAAAAAAAAAAGACCGGCTCATATAAGATGGTGGGAAAAATATTTTCTGAGATAGGAGGATATTTATTATATTCTTTTATTGCTGGTTAGAAAATTCTAAAAATATGAAAAATAAATTAAAGATATCCATATGTCATTGATATAAGGAATAAATTCAATCGGCCAGATTTTGAATCTCGACTATTAAAATGATTTTAGGATAAACATAAATTTCAAGGAGGATAAGGGAAAAAAAGAATAGAAATATAAATGAAAATAAATAAATAAATAAAAGCATAACCATTTATCTAGAACACAAATCATAACTCTTACCAGCTACTCTTAGCCCACCTCAAACAAGATAAAACTTGAGTTTCTTAAACCAACAATCATCGTGAACTATCTATCACCCCTTACGTTGATCATCAATAAAAAATAGTAGGTTAAAATCTACAAAACGCAGTGCAAAGACTGGTCCCACACCGTGGACTTGATACTAAATTTAGGTATGAACTAATGGTAGGTCAAGATGCTCGAGTTAAATTAAAAAATAATTAAATTAGATTAGCGATGGAAAACGACGAGACGGGTGTGGATACTCCTTTCTATTTTTATACTTATGTAATATTTTTGTATCCATCAAGTATTCATCACTCACAACAGATAAATGTTTTAAATTCACAGCCACTCATACGAATATATTCATAAATCCATCCCTACACTCATTACCTAACCAGATATTCACCTCCATCTCGTACACGTTTTTACCTGTTTATACTCGCCAACATTAGCAAAACTAAAGGGGGCTAGTGGGGCCATGCCCCCAAAATTTTAAAAATATAATTTAATTCTTTATGTTTTAAAAAAAATTAATTTAGCTCCTCAAAATTTTTAGAAATTTTTAATATTCTTAATTAAATCCACTCCCATAAACTATAAAAATTCTCATTAAGCCTATCAAAATTTTAAAAATTTTGGGTAGACCCTACTTTTTTGAAAAATGTAAACTAAACTCTTCAAAATTTTTAAAAATTTTAATTTAAACCTCAAATTTTTTTTAAAGTTTTAAGTTGGTCACTCCAAACTCTATGACCAAGTTTTGCCATTGCCCACTGATTTGAGATAGGAAAAAGGACATACTTCAATTTTAAAAATATTTATACCATGAAAAGTCATTTCCTTTAAAATCTTAATATTTACAAAATAATCTTTGGAATTATAATTAAATTCATGATGGTTCAAATTTTATATAATGGATAGTTAGCGGGCTGATGGATATGGGGTCGACGAATGCAGGGCTGGTAAGATCTTAAACCCATCATCTACCCACGGTGAGTATGATTTTTTACATTTGCATCCGCCCACTACCCACTAAACTTATACTCAGCGCCACCCTAATTGGTGTGGATACGGTGTGGAATCTATGAGATTGTACCCGTCTGTCATCCCTAAATTAGACCCATCTATTTCTGATCTAAAATAATAAAATATAATCTTATGTTTTTATTTTTATAATTAAATTTAAATGAAATATATTAAGTTATTTACTATTTATTTGAACTTGAAAAAATTAACCCGTGAGTAAAACGTTTAAATTCAAGTCTGGGTCCAATCAGATCGGGCTGCTCGGTCCATGAGCAGGCTATGATGTTGGGTCTTCATTCACAGTTCTTGTCTTGCTTTATATCGAATATGTAATTGTTTTGGTTCCACGAATGGTTTTAATCCAATCAATGAACTGTTTTTTCTTAAAGAAAATAGTCAAGAATATAACATAAATTATTAATAATTATACTCGAAGAGTATGCATCATCTTTTGATAATAAAACAAACTCATGTTTGTTTTATGAAAAATACAATGAACATGGGATGAGCATAGATCACAAATAGTACTTTACTAATAAATTCTATCAAACAATGCATAAGGAAGATGCCAAAGTGGAAAACAAGACAACAAAAGAAGTTTCCAAATAAATAGATATGTAAAAGCAATATTCCTATAAGAGCCACATGAATCTATTCAATCTACCATCACTGCACATGAGCTTTACTCACAAACACCATGTGCTTCTGCCAACTTATTTTTGGTGAGTTTACTCTCCCCTTCATTTGTTGTTTTCTTCATTTCCCTACCTACCAGCTTCAATATTTGTTGTTGGTTCCGGCTTTAGATTGTGATTGACAATTGTAATTTATTAAATAAATCTATCTTTTATGATAATAATAATCATGTATATATGGTTGTGTCGTAACCATTCCTCGTGTGGGCCCAAAATCAGGTTCTGACATAATTTTGAAGGCGATGGAATTGTCACCGATCATTTTTCTAAATTAGGTTGTTCGGACACCTCAATTTATCATCTTACCTAATCTGCGTTTTACCAGAAATATGTCGGGTTTAGGAGTCGGTTACAGTTGAGGAAGGATTAACACCCTTGTACTGCCCTTTCGGTACCAATTTAATTTTCGATTGTCTTAATTGCAAAATTAAAGTTAAATTAAAATTTTAAAAGTTCGATCCGAATTACTTACCTTTGACCAATTAAAATTGTCCTAAAAAAACCAAATTAATGTTAAATAATAGAATAAAATAAAATAAAAATAAACGAAAAATATTAAATAAAAAATATTAAAGAAATTAATGATCAAATCGAAGTTAAATGGAAGTTGCAAGGAAAAAAATAAAAGTTAAGGTATCAATTTAAAGTAAACAAAGAAATAATAAAGCGGATTAAATTAAAATAAAATTAAAATTCATGGACCAAATTGAAAACAGTGACCAAAATGATTTACATATCAAAACAGCAGAGACGGCAGGCAAAATTTACAATTCTGCTAATTACAAAATGACCCTCGATATATATACGTGCAAACCCCCCCTTTCATCTCATTTTCTCATTTCCCTCAAAATCACTCCCCCTTCCATCTCATTTTCTTATTTCCCTCAAAATCACTCCCCCTTCTCAAAATTCTCTCAACACAAACGGACCGACCCATGGCCGGCCATACTTCGACGAACCTCCTCCGTCGCGACGGCCAAAATTTTCCAAAACACACCTAAAAGCTTCCCCTCTACTCCCCGATACTAAAACTGAACCTAAAACCCCTTAAAACACCCCCAAATGGCGTAGATATAGGATTAAATCCTCAATTTTTACATAGTGACTTTTCGTATTCTGGTGTCATTGGCTCCTCGCGATTGTGCTTCCCTTCGTGCAGTTGAGCCTCTTCTCTAATTGTGTTTTGACTTTGTGATGGATGTTCGAATAAGCTTTGTTTTTTTTGTTTGTGTGATGTTTGAGTTGTTTCCATTTTCCTTGTTGTTGTTGCTTGGTTGTTCCGATCGTTATCTTCTTTTGTGGGTGTTCTTTTCGTGTTATTGTTCTTCGTTGGTAGCTAATATTTTTTGCTCAGTTTTCTCATGCCTTTTGACAGATTAGTGGGGGTATTTATACCCCCACCGACTCTGATTGTTCCCGAACAAACCGGGATGGTGCAGTCTCGATCCCCAATTTTTTGGATTACTTTTTTGTTTCTGGCTTTTTGGTGTTATGGTAGTGGCCAAAGATCTTGGCCGGTTGTTGCATGGACCTTTGATCTTGGTTGTTGGATTGGGTGCTAATCCAACGGCCTAGGCTTGACCGCGGCTAGATGACACCCTAGCTTCCTGGTCGTTGATCTTCTCCCTGATCCAACGATCT